CAAGACAGTAGCATTGATGTTGGAATTAGTAGAAATAGACTTGGGAGTGTGAGGGACCTGTCTGACCTTACGGGATTCGGTTTTGTATTGTGGATGTTATTGACAGGGGCTCATCCCGCTTGTGAAGTTGGTAAAGGTCAGATCTGGCTGTCTTGAAGCTACCTTTGCTTTTTCATAAGTTCCTATGGGGATATAACCCTGCTGTTGTGGGGAAGTAATGGGGATTCAGCCCCTGAGAGAGCACTGTCATCACCTACCTCAGAGCTCAGCCCCTCACGTGGAGGACTTACAGGCTCAGTCAAAGGTTTGTGGATAGGCTCAGTGAGTCCTTCAGATCCATCTGCCGTGGAACAGATGGCCAGAGTTATGTCTCCTGACATGAACATAAAATATGGTAAAAGGGTCCCAGAGAAAGAAGCCTCAGAGAAGGAGAAAATGTGAGACCCATCAGTCATGTTGTAGAAAGAGATATCCCCTTCATCATAGTCCAGAAAAATCCCTACCCGAGAAGGAAACTGCCTAAGAGTTAGCTCTGTCAGAGAGCTGGTAAAGACACAGAAATAATATAGAAAGCGTCCAACAACCCAGAATCCCTTTTCTGATCTCTCCCAGTAAAAGCCTTTTCTAACCACATTTTCCCTACAGACCCCCACAGTCCATTCACTTCTGTGTTCATCCTTGACTTCCACCTCCCAGTACCATAACCCTGATGTGATGCCCTCAAGGCCCAACACACTACACTGCTCAAGACTCATGCTTTTACAGATGTCCTTCCATGTCAAGCGCTTGTTATCCTGAGAGAGGTCAAGATTTGAATGAGCAGAAGATGGATCCAGAGTGACGGGCCCTGTAAAGAGAGTTAACAAATCATGCAAGGCCTTCCCAAGTACCATAAAAAGAGGAAAAACCACCTGTCCTCACAGCTACTTACTGGTCTGAGAGGAAGGCTGAGCACCCAAAAATGAGAGCTAGTGATTCAAGTCCACCGTCTTCTAAGCAGTAGAAGGAACCAAAAAACTACTTTGGTTTTACTTGAAGGCTATATTCATCACAGTGCCCTTGAAGACTAAGACAGATTTTGGGTGCTAAGAGACATCTACTTAGCACTCAGTATAAATCCTACCCTCAAGCCCAGTTATATGACTGATTCCCGCTGCATCCACCCCACACCATCTATGGTGCCTGCATCTGTATCACCACAGAGAAATGAAAGAGAGGTCAGAATCCACAAGGCAGGAGGAGCTCCCAGAAAGAACATTCAAGTTACTCACAAGTCTGAAACTGCTCCTTCCGCCAATCTACAAGAGAACCACATGTTTACTATTAAAGAGTTGTAGACTTCATGTATAAGGATCAGCATGCTTTCTTACAAAACATAGTGATGCAGGGGCTACAGGGTGAAATGTTTTGGAAACATTAAACTGGTGTATTTCTTTCTCTTTCTGTCACATACCCACAACCATTAGCTTTCCCATGAAATGATGCAGTATTCCTACGAAGACTATGCCCTGAGTATTAACTGGATACCTAGTCAAACAAAACAAAAAAGTTATTACCCACCTTTGGCTACCAAATTATGCTTTCTCAATAACTACCCAAGCAATTATTCTTAAACCTGGAATTAATTGAGAAAGAATTTAAATCAAAATTTCCAAATTTCCAAAATTTCCAAGATTTGTATTTGTTCATAAAGTGCTGATTGAGCTGAACTTGCAAGACATCTTTAAATAATGAATAGAGATAACTACAACAGGCTGGGTTAGAATTTGAGATATGGCAGAAATGTACTCAAATTAGGAGGCAATGGGAAGATGTTGGGGAAGAAAGAGAAATTCAACTCATTGAGACATGTACATACAGTCAGAGGTCAGACACTAGTGATTTGTCTTCCTCTTTTTTTCTAGGGAAGTGGGAGGGGAAATATTCATACATCCACAGAAGAACCCAAAAATATTGGACATAAACATCTGCTTCATCCAACAATAGTCCAGAAATATGGCAAGTTTCTAAGAGAAACTCCATGATGGAAGATCCATCCCCAAAGACATCTGTTTCCGAGTCCTACAACCTGTGAATATGCTACTATGCATGTGCCCTCTCCCTGTGGATAACTAGCTGAGCACAAAGAAAACCCAAACCCACTGCCAGCAAGTTGATTCTAACTCATCAAAGAGAGAAGAACTCTTCATGGGTTGGCCAAAGATCCCATGTTATGGGAACAAACTACCTCATTTTTCTTTCATGGAACAGTTGTTGAGATTAAACCATTGATATTTTGATTAGGTATTGAATGGTGTAGCCACTGCACCTCTAAGGTTCCTTCAACATACATGAACCAGACTAAATCTGACAAATCAAACATACTTGATTGCAAATCTGTCTGAAGAGACTTTTGTCTAAAATTCCTCAATACAACCTTTTTCTTCCTGTGGCCCACCTCCAGCTGCCATGTTGAGGATCATCAAAAACAGTTTCCTTTCAGCTGACAAGGTCAACAATACTTTCACTACCGTACCTTAGAGAGTCGTGAAGATGGATGTGTACAGCAGCACTTCATCATTAAATGGAAGGGGCATATATGGAATCTGGCTCAAGCAGGACCTGAAGACACAAGTCTTGAAGTCTTAGTTCCAAAAGGAGAAATAGTCCTACCTGAAAACACACGACTGATTCAACTGAACTAGAAATTAAGAATGCCAGGGAGCTTTGGTGGCCTAGTGGCAAGAAGTTGCACTGCAATCCCAGAGGTACACAGTTCAGATCCACCAGATGCTCTGCTGAAGAAGGAGAGGCAATCTCCTCCTATACCAGTCAGATCTGACTTGACAGTACATACACAATAAAATAAAATTAAGAAAAAAATAGAATGCCCCTCCCATCCACTCTAGACTGCTCATGCCTCTGGGCAACAGGTAGACTTGCATTATGCAAGCAACCTAACTTTGCTTGCTGTAAGTAAAGAGGATTTGAAAATTAAAGACTGTAGCCTTCAGTATGGATTATATCTCAACATCAAGAAAGCAAAAATCCTCACAACTGGACCAATAAGCAACATCATGATAAATGGAGAAAAGACTGAAGTTGTAAAAGATTTCTTTTTACTTGGACCCAAAATCAATACCAATGAAAGCAGCAGTCAAGAATTCAATAATGTTTGAGTTGGAAAAATCTGCTGCTAAAGACCTCTTTATTTTTTATTTTGTTATTTTTTAATCTCTAAAATTTATACAAAGCTTTTACACCTTGGCAGCAAAAGACAATCTAATTGGAAAAATAGGCAGAAGACATAACAGACACTTCAGCAAAGGAGACATTCGGATAATATGAAAAACTACTGAACCATTCTCATAACTATGGGATTTATTAGGGACGTTAACAGGTTGCAATTAAGTTTTAAAACACGATGCTATTTTTCAGTCAGGACAGCTTCTCAAGTGTACTTACAGACCCTTCGTTTTGTAGCTCTGGGTCAGTATTACAAAACTATCTTGTTGTTATGTGTCATTGTGTCACCAGAGACTCATAGTAACCCTATGTACAATGGCTACGAGCCTGATCTGTCCTTCCAGTCTCACTGATTCTGACACACTTACCCTCATTACCCCAGTTACTGTATCAATCTGTGTCACCTAGGGTCTTCCTTTCCTGTGCTGTTCCTCCAACCTTCCAAGCATGATGTCCTTTTCCAAGGACCAGTCCCTCCTGGCTGCATGCCCAAAGTATGTGAGATGGAGCTTCAAACTCCTAGTCTCCAAGGAGAAACTTGGTTTCACCCTCTCCAGGGCATAACTATTTGTTTTTTGGCGGTCCATGGTATGTTCAAGACCCTTCTCTAGCACAACAACTCAAAGACATCAATTCTTCTGTCATCCTTAGTCATTATCCAGCTCTCTGATCCCTGGCTCTGCCTCTGCGGGACAGCAGCTTCAAGTCAGCTCTGTCTCATGTAGACCTCTAATAATAATCCTCTGTTGTTGCTGCTGCTCCCTGCATGTGATGTGTAGGAATTGCTGGCCCCAAAGCTTGTGCTCTACAGTCTTTGGTGCTTTTTTTTTTTTTTTGCTCTACATTCTTTTGGTGCTGGTTGCGAGTTTTCAGGGTTTTGCTACTAAATCTGTTCAGTTTAAACCTGATGGGATGGCATAATTGATGAATCTTATTGTATTTTATACACTCTATTTTCCTATTCAATCATGTGGCAGAAATCAGAGCTAATGGCTAGAAAAATCATTTTGACAATAAGCCCATTCCTGGCTTTTTTAGCCATTGACCTGCATACTTGAAGAATTACAATTTCCTTTACAATATTTTATTAATAACTACATTAAAAAATGTGTTTCGTTAGCTACTTCTTATCTCATATCTTTATCTACTACATTTTAGAACACTAACTTCTAATTTGCACACAATTCTCAAACCAGCATTCTGAAAAAACAAGCATGTTTCCTTTCTCTGAAGAAACTTCTGTTCTAGTTGGAACTTTGAGCATCTGAAGCTCTAAGCAAAATCCAATCCAGAGCAAATCATCAATGGTAGCAATCTACACTAGCTCACACCATCAAGCATTTTCTCTTCAATTCATCCCTAGATATCCATAAGTAGGGTCCAATGGGGAGTGGCCACAAATTCAGAAGTAAGAACCTCTTTAACGTTTTAGAGAGGAAGAATGCAACTTTAAAGATTAAAGAGTGCCTCTACCAAATCATTATATTTTCAATTGTTTCGTAGAGAAAACTGAAGGATAAATAAGGAAGACTAAAGAATCGATGCCTTTGAATTGTGGTTTTTACAAAGAGTGTTTAATATGACTGTAACATAGAATATGACTGGCATGGAGGTGAACTCAACTACACTTCAAAACAGTCCACCCCAAATACATGTGTGTAGTGATAAAATGTAGAAGCTATGATCCCCTGACAGACAAACAAAATAGTTATAAACAGATTGTTGTTGTTGTTATTGTTGTTGTCGTTGATTGCCTTCGAGTCAAGACAAAGAGGCCTGAAGCCCTTCTACAACTATCAACATTTATGAAAGTTCATAGAGTTTCTGGAGGCATAAAAAGATTGAAAGTGGAATATAATACACCTTGTTGTTACTGTTACATGCCGTTGAGTCTGAATTGACTCATTACTGACATTCCACTGGGTTTTCAGAGGCTGTAAATCATGTGGGATCCCTTAATGCAACAGAAGCTCTAATCTGATGTAAAGAGAATCTCTTAAATGTGTAATCTGTAATGTTCTTTCTCTCGATTTAGCAAGACGTTGTTTTTTATACTTTTAATCTCCTAAACTAAAAGAAAATAATTTTTTGTTTATTAAATCCAAAAAAAAAATAAAAGAATCTCATTTTCATCTTAGAAAGCAGGCCCAGTCAAGTTAAAAATTACTAAAACATGTTTCTTTCTTTATACTTCTTCTTCAACTGTCTTTTTTTAATTTGGGCTGATACTAATGCTTATCATTTTAATCAAACATTGGATTTGTGCAGTCCTGTCTATCACTAGACAGAATTCCTTTGTGCAGTATGAGATTATTTTATTTGACTGGGTCCTCAAATAGGAAAGTTAACAACTTCTTTCTGTTGATAAGTTAGCCATAATAAACAGCATGATCTCAAGGCTACCAGAGACACTGTTGTTATTGTTAGGTGTCATGGAGTCAAGTGTGACTGATAAGAATCCTATGAACAACAAATATGAACCCTGTCTTATTTTGTGTCGAACTCACAATCTCTAACACACTTGAGCCCATTGTTGCAGTCACTGTCAACTCACTTGGTTGAGAGTCTTCCTCTTTTTCACCATCCCTCCACTTTCCTAAGTATGATGTCCTTCTCCAAAGA